ATCCAATCATTAGATCACGAGAATTTTGGTTATGAAAATTCCTCCGAGGGGGTGCTTATTATCGGTAAAATACGGTAATTTAATGATGTTCGCAGGGTTACACAAAAATGATCTGTCCGATCTTCCGAGGTGCCTGACCGAGCCTCGTGTCCCGTGATTGAACCTCGACCTCAAAAAACTTATTATTAGTCCAATTTGTTCTCTATATGAACCGAGCTTTTTTTGAATTATAACCGGATTCATGAAAGAGAATCCGGATTCAATCCGGATAGTCCTGAAGAAATAGGATCGAAGCTCTGTTTTTGGGTATCGGTTATCAGAAATCGGGTTTGAATTATGAAACAGAAATTTTTTATCAGTTATAGTAGGTTATCGATTTTGACAGGATCGGTTTTGGGCAGGGATGTCAAATGACCCCAATTTTATTATGAATTTTAGTCCGAAATAACCTAGGCATTTGAAAAAAAAGGCAAATGACCTACCCCTGGTTATACTGAAAAAAAGAAACTACTGTATATGGTGAGATTTTATGCTATTTTAGTATTTACAGAATAGTAATTTGTTGTAATATTACTACCTCCACGAGAGATTTCGACGTTAATAATTCAATTTGCCTTTGAAAAATACAATTTTGGTAATGGTAATGCTGATACGTAACAACAATTCTTGTTCATTGTAATGTCAATGCGATCACAGCATAAAGCATGTGACTTCTATTTAGCGATTATCAGAAGTTATAAATAAATGCAGGATTTTTGTAATATCCATTCTCGGGACGAAATGACTCTAACTACGGAAAACATTACTACGGTCTCTGCCAACAATCCAATTGCTAATTCATTTAGCTCATTTGATGATATTTCTAGAAAAGTACTGAGAGCCAATTATCCTGCTTCAACTTTTCGAAAACCATTTACTTCCAACGGTGGAAATGCTACTAGCAATAGCGATTCCAACAGTTATGACATTGAACAAATTTTAGAGGTTTTAATTTCAACGAATCTAAATCCAAGCAACACTTTTGAACATGATTTATTAGAATTGCTGGTTTCTGGATGCAATACTATTAATATAACCGATGAGCATGTGACTTCAAAGTTTAGTAGAATTATTTTTACTTTTTGTAGTAGACATATGGTATGTTAAAAATCAACGAGGAATGATTAGCTATTTTTTTACTTAGCAATTTATCACTCTAATTCTTTGTTTTGTTGTGTTTTTAGGTTCGTCTAAATGACAGCGAAGCAAAACAACCTCCTTTAGATACTTTGCTAAATTTTTTGATTGGATCGTACTCAAAAGCCACTCAAGTTTCCTATATTGTTGATATTTTGAGAGCTCTAAGTCAAGTTTTATACGAAAATGGCGCAAATTGTCAAAATGTTTGGATCATTTTTATTTATTATCGATCTGATTAAAATATTAAAATATATTTAATAATATTATGTAACTTTACTTAATCAAGTTACATCAGCAAATTTTGCAAACCCTTCTTCCTGTCGCAAGATTTGATTATCCAAATCTTGAAATCCGCCGTATGGCGATTAACGGTCTAGGAAATTTATGTTTTCGTAGTGGTGCCAAGCTACAAGGAGAATACAGAAGTATTTACGAAGTACTTTTGTCGAATCTCACAACCTTAGAACCTAATTTGGATGATGCTGCTTTTCTCAAAGTAAATTTGTACAAGTTTTTTTTATTTGAACTAAAATTCAAATTCTTTTTAACATCATTATTATTTTATATTTATAGGTTATTAGTAGCACATTACGAGCATTACAATTTATCATGAATGAAGACAAAACTATCGTGACAGAAACATTCAACGAGACAATTGAAGCTATAAAGAGATATATTTTCTTTAACGCAGATGAATTAAAAAAGTTTTCTTTAAATACAGGTGAAAATTTTGTTAATTCGATTTTTATTTTGCGATGCTATGGATAAAATATTAATTGTACATTTAAATCAGTGCAGATAGAACTCGGGCAAATAGTGTAAGCATGAGAAATAATGAGCCACCGTCACCAAGATCGCCAACATATAGTAGGCATAATCGTACAAAATCACTTGGTCGCTCTTGGTTAAGCTCTTATTCAGAATTGTCCGATGGAGAACACGTTCAAACTCGCAGAAGGTATTATTTAATATAGTCTAGCGATGTAATGTTCTTATCATATGCTTAATTGAATACATTCTAGAAATGAAGATTCTCGAATTCGATCTAATGCTGTCGGTTGTTTACAAAGCGTTGCAAGAGTAAGTATAATTGTTATGTATTTACAATTATCATATTTTATGCAGTATAACCCTTTTTTTTTTATTTATAGGCCGCGCCGAAATTGTTATATCCTCATTGGAATCATTTTCTTCCCGATACACATGCTTCCATGTCTTCAATCCCCTCTCTGTTTACATTGATTCAATATGAAGCTATGCCTGCGGTTCGTATATCTGCTTGTTCTGTCATAACAACGATGATCGATGGATCTAAGCAATATTTGGCGGCTGCTGATGATAGGTTTGCTTTGTTTATTATTACTAAATAACCAACTATATGTGAATTTTGTTGAGATATTATTAATTTGCATAATTATATATATAGAGAGATAAAATCATCATTCACTTCGCTTTCCGCAAAATTAGGTGCAATTGTAAGAGAACTTCATGCTGGATTATTACAAACACTTGCTAAGGAAAATCATGGTGCTATTTTGATTCAATTATTGAAGGTTGGTGCTTCTCTATTACATTAATTATAGTGATAGAATGTTTAACACAAAGTACTATTTATGTTTAGTGCTGCAATACTTTGATCAACAATACAGCATATGAAAGATTATCTGGTGGCTATCTTTCCCGATTGTATTATGCAATAGTTAGATTTCTCACTCATGAAGGTATGTTATTATCAATGTATTCCGTTTTCAGATTTAAGGAATAATAATTGTGAAAATAATTACAATTTAGATAACAATGTTCGAATTGTGACTATGACACTGATATCTAATATTGTGGAATGCAAATCATGCGTTGAGGAAGTTGGAAATCTTATACAAGCTGCTGTGATAAATGAAATAGTATCAAATGGAACGACTTCGAACCCTACACAGACTTTTGAGATAACCAATCTTTTGGCGTTTCTTATAAAGCTTATTGGTAATAATAGTCAACCTGCATCTATAAGAATTGAAGCGTGGGGTGTTTTATGCGCTTGTACAAGAACACATTTTGTAGTCATAAGGTAAAATTGTTATTCTATTATTTTATTATTATTATTATTATTATTATTATTATTTATTATTATATTTTTTGTAATATACCAATATAAATTTTTATTTTGCACGATTAACTTATTTTTTATAGTCCTCTATGGGAACAGCTAAATACTTTAATCAAAACTGACCTCAAATGTGAGGATGTTAATATTCGTACTGCTTCAATGATGTTTTTAGTCGAATATGCTAGAGAACTTGCAGCGGCTTGTGGAAGCCGCCAAAATGATGCAGAAGACGGTAATGACGAGGTAATTTTAAAATAATCATAGTTACATATTGTATATATGTGCATATAACGTAATCCTGAATTGATGATTATTTTAATAAACAGGCTCAACAGTATAAAAATTTAGATTTGACTAAAGCATCTGAATGGTGGGCAACAGCTCTTGTTCAACATGTTCAGATGGCAACAAATGATAAATGTCATGCCGTAAGAGCCCACGCATGCGACTTTTTGTCATATATCCCAACTAATATATTTTCATCATTCCCGGTAAGTTTTACCTTATTATTATTATTATTATTATTTGGTAGTGCGTTATTTTATTCTAATTTTTTTTATGATTATAGACGGAAAAGAGAAACTTTTGTATCAAAATATTACTTAATTTTTCAAAAGATGAAAGTCCAAATGTTAGAGCAGCAGCGTGTCGTGGTCTTGGAGTCTATATTTTGTTTCCTAGCTTGCAACAGGTAAATTTTAGTACATACAATATATCATATCGATATAATATTTATCTTAATATTTACGAATAGGATACTAAATTCGCATCAGACATGGCATTGACAGTAATTCAACAGATGTCAGACCAAAATTTATTGGTTAGAGTTAGAAGCAGTTGGGCTTTAGGGAATTTATGTGATACTATGGTTATTTTAAGGCATGTACTATTTTCACTACTAATTTTAATACGTATATACAGACTTTTAATATGATCACAATTTGCTATACAACAGTAATCCTTCAAATGTCAGTCAAGGAGTTACTCCTCGAAATGCCAATTTGAATGAATTTTTGATTAATGTTTTATGGGCAAAAATTGTTAAAGCTGGGTTATCTGCGTCAAATGATAATGATAAGGTAAGCATATTCATTTAATATTTTCAATTTAAACATTTTCTAATGACTTTAATATTTATTATAGGTCCGTCCAAATGGAGTTAGAACATTAGGCAGTATTATACACGTCCTTCCCACTAACTTTATAATAAGAGAAGAAAGAGGATTAATTAAAGATGTTGTGATGGCTTTAATTAAAAATTTTGAATCTGGTTCGCTGAAGGTATATGCTATTTTTATTTGATTTATCACATTTACAATAATTACGTTCTTGTCACTTATTATTTTTTTACATATATATATTAGGTTCGTTGGAATGCATGTTACGCGACCTCGAATATGTTACGGAATCCAAATTTTCCAATTGGCCAAAAAACAAATAATTGGTCTGTGCAATTATATGATGCGCTAATCAAGGCAGTACAAACGTCCAAGAATTTTAAAGTTAGAATCAATGCGTCCCTCGCACTCGCCACACCATCTACCCGAGATAAATATGGTGACATAACTACTTTTATTAAAATTTTACAAGCGGTGGTTACAAGCTTGGAAAATATAGATAATTTAGCAGGAACTGGGTTCAGTGAAGTGAAATATCAGGAGCAATTAAAAAATCAGGTTTGTTGACTAAAAAGTCCTATTATTTGGTTTGATGGCAAATGAGAATGAAGTTAGTATGCTATACATTTTAATATTTATATTCCTCAAATTTTATAACTTTTAACAACGTATCTGCATTTAATTCCTATATCGACGTATAGTGGTCAAAAGTATATCGAGCCATTTATTGAACGATTTACCAATGGAGAGAAAACGTCAACGAAATTTAGATGATTTGAATTATTTGTTATTTGTTTTATAACGAAGCTGATATTTATTATTTTATTTTAGAGAAGATTACTTATGTACACTATTATATTTACCATCTTTATACCCTGGATAAAATTTTATTAGTGTAGATTGTTTCTACATTTCATTTTTGGACCCCGGAATAAAATTTTTGTTAGTGTAGGATTTTATTTTGAAATTTTGGTAATGGTAAAATACCGTGTAATTCATCTAAACAATTTGAATATTTTATATTGCTGATGAAATACAGTATATATAGTTTTAAATACAGTATAGTGTTGATTTTCATTTATACAATGCATCTTTGTTTTATCATTTACAGCCAGTACGATAGCTAAACTGAAACTAATGCATCTGATTGGTTAACTAATGGTTAATCAAATTTATCAAAGTTTCAGTATTAGAAGTAATATTAATTATTCAAATTTGAAATATAAGAATTTTAGAATGTCTATGAATAGACAAATATTACTGTATTATTAGAAATTACGTACTGCACAATAGTTTTTCATTTTTAAATGAAAATATGATACATGTGTTTTCAAATTTAAAGAAATCGGGCCAAATGTGGTATAACAGTGTTCGCCCTTAAAACTTTTCAAGGTCCGAAACGTTTCACCTTGAGCATTTAAGCCTCCGAAACCTCCGAAACTATTTACTTTAAAAATTAAATAGGATTCGCGTTGCTTATCCCTTAAAAATTTTCCGGCTGATCATTATATGCCATTTAACGTTAGGAGCTTTCTACAAATATCGCTTTTGGATGTAAGTCACAAGACGAAATTATAGTGGTATTAGTTTTGTATCCTCCAATTAAACAATGTGATAATATACATTTACTAAATCAAATTTTTATCTATTTTAAACCGACATAAGCTGTTTTAAATAAACATGAATATATAAAAAATAATAAAAAGAACTATGAAAAAAAACTAATCTAATTAATATTCAAAGTCGATCCTAACTTTGATGTTAAAGAATCAACCTATTAATAATATATATGCAATATCTGATATTAAATAGCTAACAATGAGTTTACTATTTCAGCTTATGGAATAATGTTATCACCGTAACGATAAAATAATTGATTTATTTTATAGGCTGTTAATAGTAAGGCATTGAATAAATATACAAATATATTTAGATATTCAATTATTCAATGTAGGGGCCTGACCTGGTTAAAAAATAATGTGAATTGAAGTTGATTCTTAAAAACATATTAAATTGGCGTTATTATTATTATTATTATTATTATTACCTTTTTTTTTTTTTAAAAAAAAAAAAGGGTCTAAATAAAAAATCACAGCCAAATTATAATTTCGGTTGATTTATTGATTAATCATTGATCGAGTTAACTTTAACGTTAAGTAGAAATTAAGTTTATTAAATTACATTAGTGTTCCATTGCAACTTATGTCGATTTAGAATCTATAAAAATTTGGGTTTAACGTACGAATAACAAAGCTTAAATCTTTTACTTTCTAATCTGCGTTAAGCCCTGTGATTAGCTGTACAACGAAACACCCGTATGATAAACGAATGTTCGGATATTCGGATGTTCACTGAACATCTGGATATGTCATTCATCGGATCAGACCTCTAATTCAATGACCGAAATTCGGTTATTACAGCTATTATCGTTATCAAATTTTGGTACAACTGAAAAAGTTGCTAGTGACCGAATCGATAAGTTACCAAGTTGGAATCTTCGGCCGACATTAGAAACTTAACGATTCACCGAAAATTTTCGTTGTCTGAATCAACGAATATGATCAGATCATTCTCAAGTCGGTATAGAATGTTTTTGTCTTCTGCAAAATAACCAAGTAGCCTATCACTATGCTCAATTTGGTTAGTAAATTAGTTTTGACCGACTACACATTATGCAAGAAATTTGAATTCTAACGGGCAATTCTTTCAATATGAGAAATTTAATGATATAAAAATTCGAATATGTTCACTGGACACGAGAAATATTCGTTTGAATAGGGTAGTAAGAAGCTTAAGTTATTGTGATAAATTGAATAGATATCAATTTTTCTCATCCCTATGCAGAGGAATTGAACGTACGTACGTAGGTCGCAAGATATCTAATTTGTCAAAATACCCTTCTTTACATCACATAGTGCAACTCATTTTTGATATGTGAAAAAAAATCTTGATATAGAGAAATTAAGCTTAAATTTTCATATTTACATAAATGACTTATCTATATATATTAAAAGTATTCTATCTCGACTAACTTTTTATAAATTACGTTTTTCCAAACATGACGTACTTAGTTCATTGATAATTTATACATGCGTATATATGGAAATGGAATACTCTAGAATCAGTGTTGAAATTGAAAATAGAAACTATGCAGTAGCGTTTGATCGACTCGATCCAATTTACACAAAGTTTGTAATACACATGCATGTATGGAGATGTGCGACGTTAACGTAAATGTAATATAAGTAATTTAAAATACTACTTTCGACGTACAGCAAGTTATTTACTTTGAACTATTAAAAAAAAAAACATCTTTAAAAAAATAAATATAAAAATAAAAAAAATGGCAACTGTGGAGTTGACAAAAAAAAGTCGGACAAAGGCCAAACGAGTACGAAATGATACTATTTAGATGATTTTACAGATTGTTAAATATGATGATAACCTTTTTATTGTATTGGTCTTTTTTTGTTATATGTAGAGATCTATGCCTGCAAATTTAGGTCATCGCACAAATCTTTTAAATGAGGAAGAACAAGCTAACTCTAATACTTCTATGCAAATACCAACAATCGAAGAAAATGATCATCATATTCTTGATTTGTTATTAAACGAAAGTTTTAGCGAGGTTGAATTGGGCTTAGATCAACCTTTAGTACCAACTAAATACACCTCTGAAGAAAAAAATTCAAGTAGCAATAATAATGATATCGAAAATATTGATCAGTCAAAAGAAATAATCGATGATTTGCAAGGCCTGGAAGAATCGTTAGTCTCGAATGAAAAAGAAGAAATAAATAATGTGTTGATATCACAGGTAAATAATTTACCCCTTAGTTTCAATGTTTGGATGCATTTTTGTTTTTATTATAATAAATTACTCAGTTATTACTGATTTAAAATTAATCTACAGGATGTCATTGAATCTCTAACCAGTGTGAAGCATGTTGCGCTCATAGCGCTAGACAGTCTTCTACGTCAAATTCTTGCGGATCACAATTCTCATATTATGTCATCTGAAATAAGGTCAACATACACAAGAACGGATGCTTTGAGACAACGTTCTTTCTCTTTTAGTCATTCACCATCACAAAATGTCAATCCTGAATTAAAGAACCTACCTCGAGAAGAGAGAAATATCTGGATGAGATCTCAGTTATTGGCTGACATTGCACATAATGCAACAAAGTTGAGTAATAACAATGAAATGATGCAAACAGATTCAAGACAACAATATTCACCTGATGTTGCTACACTTGATATAATTCGACGTCAGTTGAATTCTAGCAACTCAGTTATTTTAAGTGATGATTATAGCTTAGCATGTACTTTGGCCGCCTTGCTTGGGTACTTGTATAGAATTTTAGAATTATGTGATTCTAAACATCCTGACTCAAATTTCGAATCAGAATTACCGAATACTGTCCAAACTTCAGAAGAAATTTTACAACCTACATCAGGTGAAGACATTTACAGTACATTGCACAAAGAAGTGACAACTTTACAAAATCGACGTGCTAGTTTAAATTTTTATAACAATGTTAAGGATCAACGTCTTTCAACTTGGAATGAGATTGATCGATTAATGGAAATTGTTGCTGGTTTATGCCGTGAACGATCTAATAACGATCCACCTCCTGAGTATTCGCATAACCTTACTGAAGGAAACAATGAAACAGTCATTGATCCACCAAAATATCCATCAGTTGTTGGAAATTTAAATTTAAAAAAAGACAATGAAAAAACAAAATTGGATTTGGATAATGTAATTTCTGCAATCGATCGTGTTTATTGTGTGGCGCCTCAACTTAATAATCAACGTGTAGAACTTAGTCCACGTCAAAAGAAAAGGTTAACTGCAGCTACTTTATCAAGCGTCATTCAAAAATTATCTCGTGGGCGTCTTGAGGAGCAGCGCGCTGATTCTTCGTCAATTACAAAATATCAAACGCTAAATCGGCTTGTTGATCAAATAAATAAAGCAGCAGAAAGAAGTTTTGTAGATCAACGTGTTGAACTTAGTCCTCGTCAAATACGACAACATGAAGTTGCAAAATTAAACGGTATTATTGAACGCCTTGGAAAAAATAGAATGACAAATCAGGTATATTTCATATTATACGTATATTTATTTTTTATTTATTATTTTTTTTAATAACCTATACACATATATTTATTTCTTATTCATTTACTTATTTAAAGGATTGGCACCCACCAGAACAGCTTCTTATTCAGGATTTGACAAGACTTACAAATGAATTGACAAAAACAAGCTCCAACAATATTTATACTTCCCAACGATATAAACTTTCACCTGCTAAAGAACGAGATATGTTTATGAATAGTATATTCAAAAAAGTTGAAAAAATGCAATCATATCGTATGGATGATCAAGACGCAGAGTCACCTAAAGAACGTGCATGGAAGGAAATCGAAAACTTACTTAGTAAACAACAATATAGTCCTTCTATGAACTATCAACGTGCCACATTAAACCCTAAAAGAACAAGTTTTAATTAAACGAAATTTATAGAATTTTTTTATATTTACATGTTATATAATTTATTAGAAATAATCACTTTATGTAAGCTTATTTTACTAATCATATTCATTTAATTACAAATCTGTAATATACACATTTACTTTATTTATTTACCTACTTATTATTTATTTATAGTATTTATATTTCTTGTAATAAAGAAATTGCTATTTAAAAGTAAAGATGGTTAATAGAAACTTTTTTATTGTTTTAAAAGAGGCGATGTTTTTGATATAATATTGTTTTTGTCCGGAGTGGAGTGGAGGACTTTACTGTCCAGAGCTGTAACAGGTGACCCTGCATTAATGTTCAGATCAATGAAGTTTTACTATCCAGACTTGGGGTATCCTTGTAAGATAATAACAGGATAACCTACAAGAAAAAACATTCCTTTTCGATTTTACAAAGCGATAAAAAGTGGCAATAAAAGTAACTAATAAAACAACGATACAATATATTCATTGGCATCTGACGTAGAATCATATATCAGTTGAATTTTCACATTGGAAACTATCTTTATTTAAATGAAATTTACTTTTACATTATTAAATAACTGATTATTAAATTATTTCGATAGCGAAAACTGATATCATAAATTCTCGAAATAGCGCTATTTTGACTACGTGCGCGTTATTTCGAATCCAATTGTTTACTAATGTTATAAACAGGCGAATGAATAAGTATCAGGTAAATATCGGATACAAGACTTTTGATATGCTACCGATACGTTGTATGTAGCGGTAAAATTCAGGTACATATTGGGAGTTTTGTATTCCGATATTTACCCGATACTTGCTCTTCGAAATGCGCGCTATTTCGAGACGCGCATGGGTGTTAATTCGAAACCGCCTATGCTATTTTTAGGAGGCGCGATTTTCGAAATAACACCCCTGCCCACTATTTCGAGAATTTACGGTATATTGCCCTTGCTGGATTCGAACCAGTAGTTTCAAAGACAAAAATTCGACCAACTTATATTAGAACCTTTAAAAAAAAAAAGTTTTTACATGACGCCATATAGCACCTCGGATAGTTTTTTACATGGCGCCAAAATCCAACTATAGCGCCAAAACCTTGGAAATAAAGAACGGAACTATATCCCGTTGGGGACTCGGGAATAGAACGGTACGAAATTAAGAAGGATGTCGTACCCACACTCGTGTCTCATTTAGGTGTAAGAGACCAAGAACCTCCCTGAAGCATAAGCCACGTAGAGAACCGCGACGTCAAGAACCCAGTCGAAAGCCCACAAACGGGGGCTGGATCATTATTCGTGTTTATTTTTAATATATATCACGAATTTTATATAATATTAAATTTACATTAATTAAATTTCGTCGGCAACTTTAATAGCAACAAGAAACATATAACTCTTCCTTCAGAATCAGTAGACTTGTGCGGGAGAAAAAACTCAGTTTTGCAAAAATCATGAATACTAAATACCCAAAATGCGCCCGATGCCTTTCTTCCTCTAGGTCAATCCAAGTCCTAGACCAACACCAGATATACATTACCTTATTCTGCAAGCAGGCATCAAACTGAGTCCTAAAAAATATATTTTGATTATTTTAATTTATTTTTCAAACTCGAATTTCAAAACAATAAAATATTAATGTTATACTTACAATATTTAACAAGAAAATGTTTAGTGGAGCTTCAGGTGTAAAGAGAAAAAAAAACAATACTATTAACGATAATGTTCACAAAAGACAAAACTCAAATGAATAATAAAAGGAAAATACTGCAAGTTTGAAAAGGGATGTCTTCAAGAAATCAGTTCAAACAATTATTTATACGTAAATCTACGCGTAAACACCGAAGCGAAGCGAACAGACAGGCATAATCACGCGATATTGTTTATCATAGTTAGGGTTGCAACCTATACTTATACTGTATTATTAATATAGGTATAAACCAATAGTAAAATAGTTTAGCCATTCCGAATGTTTCCATAAGAAAGATTTTGAACCATATTAAACTGGGCAGCTTTAAAAGATGGCAGTTATACAGTATTATACTACCATTCTCTATTATACCGGTATAATTGCAACCCTAATCATAGTCCGTAGTAAAAACAGTGTCCTTCGCTTCGCCCCGGGCAATAAGTGATAATACCTAAAATACTATTGCTATATCAATAAGATCAAAACTGTTAACAGTCATTACAGTAAAAACAAAAGGATTCTCGATCTCGTTTGATTATTTTTATATAAATTTCTACGTCATCATTTTTTAATCAAACTACTGTAATTGTGAAATGTTATGAAAAATAAATAAAGCCCTCTTTTTCCTAAACCTAACAGTGTTCTAAACCTAACCCTAATTGTATTATATATTTTACGGAGAACCAAACTTCAAAAAACTTCATATTGTTGACTATATATAATATAAAATTAAATCATAATTCGGACCGAAATTTCAGCATAATCCACTACACTGACATCGCCAGCTAAGTTATATGATTTCACATTTTATTATGCAATTTTTTTGACCAATTTTATCTAAACATTAAAAAGATCATATAACCACAACCTCACTTATTGACTTCTTATTTATCAAACTATATATTGTATCTTTTTATAGGCTTTAGTTTGACATGTTTGAATTCAAATAACTAAGACTCAAATGGTGTACATAAAATGAAGATTATCTTAAGCACAAAGAACAGTCAACCTAATAAAAAAATTATTTAAATATCTAGGTCAACGGTTCCCGTTACCTAATGATATGGATGTATTTATCACTTTTAGAAAACCCACTTTTTTGATAAATATTAATAAAATCCTGACTTTTTGAACCCTTGAGTTGAGTTGCATTTTTAAACCAGTCGGCAAGTTTTTTATCATACCTAACTTTTTTAATGCACTTATGTTTAATATAAAAATCCAATTTATACGTATTCGGTGCCTTTTTTATATTCGAATGCCACCAAGAAAAAACACAAATCTTATCTTACGGGTTTTTCTCTTGGCGGCATTCTTCCATAAATTTTCGTACAAACTATTTACACCAAACTTATTGGGCAAGCATTCAAGCGAAATTTAATAATGTTGAGTGTGTCAACATTGTATCTGCGCAAAATAGCTTTTATGTACCCGATCAAATACCTGATCATGCCGAAACCACAAACTTAACCGAATCAAAAGAAAAATCATTTTTATCAAAATTATGATAATAGCTGTAATCGAAGAAACTGACCTGTCGGTGACCTGGGTGGTGACTTTTCTTTTTTTAAACTGACCCGTTTCCACCCAAATGGCACATTATCCACCCGACGGGTGGCCCGGGTGAAGATTTTTTAGACAGGTCAATTCACTATATTACACTAAAATGACCCGAACAGAAAACGTGTTTAAATAATTATACATAATCTGCCTTTGACTCAAACCAATCTACACTTGATTCGAAACTATAAACCCTTGAGCCAGTGCTTGATTAGCTTTTCATATTTTTATTGCGCTATAATGCTTTCAATATTAGTCAACAGATATTTTAAAATTTTCCCCTCTTATCTTTGGTCATTGCACATAAAAAAAAAAGAAAAAGCAATCTTATAAAACAATCACTTTTTGAGACATGGCAGTTACTTGAATTGCTTCATATAACTCAATGCCTTGCTACAATTCTTATTAAATCTGGACTTACAGCAAATTATTTTACTTCCCTCACCTCTCTAATTGTCTAAACAAAACAAAAAATGCCTGCAAAATATCAATGATTTGTTACATTCACATGTGCACTGAACTATTAACTCAAGAGTTTACAGTAAAAGAAGAGACCAATATTTTTATAAGGCAACAAGAAACATGACAACAAGCTTCATCCACAGTCTTAAAATTTTTCTGCAACTAAAAATTACAAGCCTTGAAAGCACTGGCCACAGTCAAAAATAACAATCAGATAATTTGCATGGATCATTTTGTATACACATTAAACAAGGATCAAAATGAATCATGAAAAAAATTAAAGACCTTTAAAAAACATCAAGGTTAGTTGAAATATCAAATAGTTGAAATAGATGAAATCAATCAATATTTTGAAAGATCAGTTATATGGTTTTTTTTTTTAACATGTAACATGAAGGTTGGATCGTTTATATTGTTTAAAATTGTTATTTAGTAAGCTCTGTGTTGAACAACAATTTTTATTAAGAAAAACTCAACAAAAATAAAAAGTTTGTCGATTTAAGTTTTTTTAATAAAAATTGTTGAACAATGCAGTATTTATTAAATAACAATTTAAATAATATTAAACTCTTCTAATTATTTGAAATATTTTTTACAATTGATTTTTTTTTAATAAAGAATGATATCAAGCAGTTGGAAAAACTGTAGAAAATTATAAACAAAAGAAATCACCTTCAAGAATTATGAATGCTATACGGATGCCAGAAAATAGATGAAGCTTTACCAACTCCATCAAATAAAAGAAATAATAGTGTTGAAATAGATACAACCTTGTTAGCTAAGCAGCAGCATCACATATATGAGAAAGAGTTGTCATGTAAGACTAACTTAACTTTGAATAATAGGTATTAATTCTTGTTATGTTCCAGGAGAAGTGATGAATAACATATTTATTTCACTAAGAACTTCAATCACAATCATAGTCGCTATTAAATTAAATTTATACGAATTATACTATATTACAAGTCCTATTCTAATCAACCTAGCACTACGAAATCCCGGGGTAACAAATTAACAGCATTTTTAAAAAATTTCCCAAAAATGCTTATCCTTTCCTTTCTCTACAGCTTCACCCTCATCATTGATTTCAAACTTATAGTTCACAATTTTCATTATTATAATCTCCTAATTATAAAACATGGCTCAATTACACACTGAAAAGAGAAGAAGTTGACTATCAAAAAAGCTCTTTAAAGGTTAAATTTAGATTGCTGTTAAGTCATATTGACCCAAGGATGTATTAAAGGAGAAATATGAGTCTTGAGTATTAGTAAAAGCATGCTTTAACAAATAAAATAATTTGAAATCTAATAATTAAAATTCAACTTTTAGTACAACGAAGAAATTTTTTTAGCACTTAATTTTTTAAATAAATTAAATTTAAATAAATAAAATATAGTTAAGCTTAAAAAATATTACACTTCAATAAATAAACTTTTTATCGCTTTGATAATCATTATCAGATGCAAATTTTATTAAATATGAAATAACATTTAAAATTTTGTTATAGAATATTTAGATTATATATAGTATGTATTCTACAATCAAAATTTACAAACTAAACAACCGTAGACCCAAATATAACAATTAATGTTTACATTCTTGGTTTTGAGCTGCTTTAATTCCATTCCCCCTTACTTCTTCATCTTGCCATCGTTACTGTTTATTAAAAACCTTGATAGTAGTTATATCAAGTTAATTTTACCAATAGTTTATGCAATAGAAATCATAATAATGAAGCCAGATAGTGTATGCTTAAACAAACTAATGTATGATACTTATAAATCATACACTTAGTTTTTGAAATATTTATAATAATAAATTTTGTTTTTGATATATTTAATGTTTTTATAACCATAGATTTTTATTTTTGATATATTTAAAGAAACAAAGTATTATTAAAATTTTTTTACTCAAGTAGTTTTCATACTGATATTGTGATTGGCCAGATCACATATACTGTTTTGTCCAATTTCGTATCGGGTTATTCACAATACAGCTTTTATAATTCTGGAAAGTCTAAAGACAACTTGTTGGTGCTAAAAATAGGTGATTCTTAATTATCCATTCAATAATTTATGAAGAATCGAATTCTTCTACAGCGTGACAATCGAATTTTTATCCTATTGCTATAAGACAACTACTTAAAGAATTATAATATGTGTAAATAAAAATATTTAGTTTAACAATTTTTAATACTATATAATTCTAAGTAAATATGCATTATTGAATTTCCGGAGCTTATTATAAATCACCATCCCATTTATGTGTATCTTGTAATTCTGAGTTTTTGTTCTATTCTATATCGAAAACCTAATTAAATGTAACCCAACATACCAAAACTGTGAATAAAGTAGTCCATTTTCTACAATGCTGCGAATTTATATCAGGACAAAAGGGAATCACAAGATTAAACATTTGTTCTTTTTCCCTTTAAATTAGAGCGCGACTCTCTGGTTTATGCTTGGTTTTAATTTTTTTGTCTACTAATATTATGTAGCATAGCACGATCATCTATAATAACAGTCCTTTTTTTTTATAGTATATATTATTGAATTACGGATTTTTAAACAATACAGTGATAAGGTTTATAAATTCTTGCATTATCTTTTATCGCGGTTTTCGAAATGATAAAAATGAGTAAAAAAAAAAATTTTTCTGGTATTCGAGATTAACCATAGCTGCTGCAACAAATTTGGACCGGCAGATCCTCGATTTTGATTGGCTAACGGCCGAGGATCTTCAAAATTTTGGCCCATATTACAAAATTGTTTACTAAATTTCGGCCGGAATTAACTTTTTAATTTTTTCATTACAAAAATAGAAATTCTTAAAAAATAAGCCCGCATTATGGTAAAATTGACCCAGGAACGGCTTTCTCAAAAATTATATCTGATATTGACGTTTTTTTGATGGGCAAAATAACGTAAACAAAAAAATTACAGAAAGCCTACCCTTAATAGGCGCATTAGTATTTAATTTTTTGATCGTTGCTCTTAGCCAATCAAAATCGAGAATCTGCCAGTCCAAATTGTTGCGGCAGCTATGGTTAATGATTTCTACTGAACAGCGCCCAATATGTCACGGATGATCGTGAAATCAAACCCTATTTAATATACGATTTTTAAATCAAGGCCCCAGATTTCACAATCATCTGATTTCACTATCATCCGCGACAATATATATTAATGACATTATCAACTCAAGGGGCAAAGAGGGAAGTTTAGCAAGCGTATTATGAAAAGGCTCTCGTAAAATTGCTCGAAGACCTGATTACATGTCATTTGCTAAATTAGGAATCAATACTGGGCTTGAAATTGTTTACCTAGAAACAGGCCGCCCAAATTCTACTTTGGCTAAGCAATTACATGATCATAAAAAACTAGTACGTATGTTCAAAGACTCCATTGATACTACAAGAAAAATATCCAAACTACAAAGGATATTCAACAAAACAACAAAAAGAGAGTTATTGGCAATTTTTACTATTAATATTACGGGTATGTTAATTCAGTCAGTGAAAAATTAGCAAACTTAGTCCTGAATTACACACAATATCTTATCTAGTATCTATTAAAAATTTAGGTGATGCGTTAGAACTCTACACTATGCGTAAAGAATCGGGCATCTACAAGTATGGATTACTTGAGCGAGCACCCATTCCTTTACGCTTAACATCACATAATGATATGTATTCTCTTATTCACGTATTCCACGAGAACTGGCTTAAAGTGTACAATTTGAATGAAATATCTTATGGTGTCTTGCCTTACATCGCTCCTGAACTTTTTCAAAGAAAAGCGTTAACTTTAAGGGTTAGTATTTTTGCATTCTTAGCTTTATAACAAATTGTAAATAAATTAAAATTTTGCCTTTTACAGACAGCAGTCGCTTGTATCTTATTTAAAATCTTATATGATTCCGAGGAGGTTTATAGCGATCATAGTATGGAAGAAACTTCAACAACTGTTTCAACGCCTAAACGATAGAGTAGAATTTTATGCATATAATCAATTTTAATTATTAAACCAAATTATAGAAGAAAATGCTAAACGTAAAGCTGTATATGAGGTTAGAGTTAAGAAACTAGAGCAAAACAATAAAGAGAATGCAGTCCTTAAAGCTGAAGTAGAAATGATATTGATGAAAAAGAAAAACCAAACCGTTACTAATATATCTAATATACAAAATGCTTCATCAAGAAATTTTTTAATTGACTAACAATCAATTGACAAATATACAATATAACCTCAATATAACGAACCTTGATATAACGAAGAAAACCTCCAGTTCCAGAGCTTTGTTATATCGAGGTTATACTGTATCTGTCAAGTGACACATCTGCCGATTAATATCAATATGGGGCATCACGTTAAACCAGCACTGTATTGTATAAAGATAGAGGCCTTGAAGGTAATGTCATATGGTATTATTTTTGTATTATCTTTATGATCCCTATAACAATACTGGTTTAACATAAATTATGGATGCCCCTTATGAGTAATAATCGATTAAGTTACAATCAGTTAGCATGAGCTCATAAATAATACTGATTTCGATATAGCAAACATAGCAAACATTCTTGAAATTAAAGAGAATACCAAAACGAAAGTCAAGACAAAAGTCATAGAAGCCCCAATGTAATTACTGATAACTTTACCGGCAATCGCCATTTTTTCTGGGCAAACGCTACATTATGTAAGTTTTAGGCTTGTATGTAGAGATGGGCACACGCGTGATTTTTTTGGATCCCGCGTGGGATTTTTACAGCTGTTTTCATAAATTCTGAGACACTCTAAAAAAATTTGCCGAAGTCTATTCGGCCGAAGTTGATAACTTATTGATTTCGGTATGATCAGTATAATAAAATAATTAAGAAAAGCTATTTTTGGATCATAACGATCATTTTATGATGTCATAACAATAATGTCAACGATTTTAAATTTTCGTTCGAATGCTTGTTCAACATGTTTGGTACATTTAGTTTGTACGAGAATTTATAGAAAAAACTGTTCATGTCAACCAATAAACCATAACAAGAAATGTAAAAAGGAATCAAATATAAACTAGACTTATAATAAATATATTATTGAACAGGTGCCGCTATTAAAATTAAATATGATATGAATTTGTCGACTGGTTATTATTAATATCTGTCAAGAATGCATGAAGAATTATGATAAACTAAATCAAAATAAAAAATTTATATTTATATTTATTTATATATTTTTCGTCTTCGACAAAATAATTAAAAATAAATAGTTTTCATTTGAACGAAAATAAATCTTGCAAAAGAATAGGAATCAAAATTTAGTTTAGTTTTTTAATAACGAATTTTTCATCTTCAACAAGAATCAAAAAATAATTAGAAATGAATAAATGTTTTCATTTGAACGAAAATGGATCTTGCAAAGAGTAGGATCGAAATTTAGTTTAATTTTTAAACCTGAATTTTTCTTCAACAAGAAATGAAAAATAGTTAGAAATGAATAATGCCTTCGTTTGAACGAAAATGGATCTTGCCAAAGAATAGGAATTGAAGTTTTATACAATTTTTTAAAAACTAATTTTCATCAAAAAATAATTAGAAATAAATAAAGGCTTGTTAAAGAATAGGAATCGAAATTTTACACAATTTTTTAAACCCAAATTTTGTCGAAAATAATTAGAAATGAATAAGGCTTCATTTGAGCGAAAATGGATTGTGCTAAAGAGTAGGAATAGTAATTTACAACTTACAAGTGCATGTTGATATTTAGTCTTATTGTAATATATATTAGTCACCTGATCTTATTAAATTACGTATGTATCTGATATATCTGTTACTGAATCTTATTATTCCCGAAATCTATAACTTAACTGAATCGGCCGAAAAATCATTTGGCTAATTTTTATCGATAATATCTGTAATATAATATCTGGCTTGCATTAACTATCTAAGCAATTTCCAATTAATTTATTTATAATAAATAAGACTTATAAGAAATAACTGATTCGAACAAGAAAATTAATTTTCAATAATAAATTCTGTATGGTTTTTTTTTTAGTAAATACAAAAATTAAAAAATCTGCAGACTGGTAATCCTATCCCGCGCGGGATTTTTGAAAAAACCGTGATATGCCCATCTCTACTTGTATGTCACATGCTTGTTATTCATCAATGAAGAAATTATAAAGTTGATATATAGGTGTTTTGTCTTGAAAATAACCTTACAGAGCATAGAGTTACTATATCTTATAAGGTCATTTTCCCATCATATGTGAGAGAATTTTATGTATAGAAATTATCTTGTGATAACAAGAGGTTGATATTAATGAGGTTGATAACGGAGTCGGCTGTGTAAAAAACCAATTTTTACCATATTTTTGACCCTCATCAAGGGGTAATACAAAGCAACATTCAAGACAAACAAGTGAAAAACACAAAACAAAATGAAACCAAAATGAAAAACAATGCAAAAACAGAAAGAAAATCAAATATGGGTTATCTGTCCTTCTGCACAATGTGCTATACATGCTGTACTACAAAAGTGCAGACCTTGAAAGTATCAAAAAAATCTGCCCTAAAACTGACTGTCTTCTAAAGCTGTCACTCATTATAGGGGGGTGGGTGAAAAAAACTAGCCACATTCACTAGAAAAAACCTTAAATACCCCTATGACTGCTCTAATGTTACAATGAGGCTCCTAGACCTCATACAAAAATTTTCTTTGTGACTGTTGTCTGACAGGCCACCACTACGTAGAAACACATAAAGAAGTCATTTTACACCTGTTGTTTAGACAGGCCGCTTCAATAAATACAAAAACATAAAAACTCTTGTAACCGTTGTCCCAACAGGCCAAAACTAACCAAAAACTCAGCATAAAAATAATAAATAGCATCTTAGTAAGTCTTTAATAGATCCAAGTTGCTGTATAGATGTACAAGGGTCAGATAGGGTGGGCAAAAAAACCAGACAAAGTCAGGTTAGCAGAAAAAACAGAAGATATCTATCTTGGAAAAAAACCTGCTTCTTCTAAATACTACTAATAATTACTAATCAAAAAACTATGTCAATACTACGTCAATACATCATAAAACCAAAACTAATTACTGTATATGATAAATCTCAACAATGCATCAAGCGAAATTAAATACATCACTGTGATGCACCACATCACTCAAATTACATAATAATCACGATACTGCACCTATGATCGATTCAAGACAAAATACTGCTCTGATACTTTTGTATCGGGCAGCTAATATTCAGAAACAATGCCCGGACATTATTTTGAGATAATATGATACAGGTATGCTAAGAAATTATTGAATGAATTTGGTAATTTCTTAACTTATCGAACCCCAATTTCCCAAAAACCTATTTTTTCAACCTCATAATTCTGATACACCTTTTTATTAACAGGATGTTTTATTATTAATAGTTTATATCACTGACAGAAACTTTTACTAACTTTTTTCTTTTAATAAACTATTTCCCTAACATCTCGAGTACCTGCAAAAAGTTTGAAAGCAGTTTTTTTCTTCAACAAAGTTATTTCTCCAAATTCTTATTTTCCTGGCAAGAATTTTTTCTGAAAGCTTTTTCACTGACAAATATTTCATGATATATTTTTCTGAAAGATATTTTCTCAAAAAGTCATGCTAGTCAGGTTAATATTAGAGCTTATATCTCTACTATTCTTCAGTGATAATAACAGTTCCAAGTGGCATTATATGTAGAGAATGTACAATACAACATATGCTTTTTTTTATTACATATTACACTACATGATCAAACAAATGAAAAAAAGATCAAATTCTTTCATTACGATTTTTTGTTACAGCCTTTGATGATCACTGATTATAAATTCATTATACTGGCAAAAAAAAAAATGCCAAAAAAATATAAATATAAATATAAATTAAGATAAATACACAAGTATAAAAAGAATGTTTTTTTATAGAATTAAGTTGTTTAAACAATTCAAATTCTTTTTTTTAAAAAATAATTTGGATCTAATTGTAGTATATATTATATTGAATTATATTAATATCATATATCATATCTAAAATATATAAAAATAGTAGAAGTAAAAGATATCAAAATTATGCCTTGTCAATAAAATAAAGTGTCAGTATTATGGCTTTGGTAAAATAGTATTTTAGAAAAATAGATTTTTGCTATAGCCTATTTTGGTAATAGACATTTTCTTGATTTTTACAATACTATAAATTTGGTAAAATGTCTATCAATGAAAAAGGCTTTAGTAATATAGTTTTCAAAGAAATAGTATGTCTAAAAAATATACAATTGGAAAAATAGTTATTTGGTAAAATAGATTATCATTTAAATAGATTCGGGATATATAAATTAATAGTTAAATTATATATTAGAAAATTAACTTTCGATTTAATGGTTTATCAGAAAAGTGAAATATTAGAATTATATCATTTTGGTGAAATGGACTATTAGTATAATTGGTTTGATAAAATAGTATTTCACAAATTAGATTTTGGAAAGTTGAACCAGAATTCTCTAAATCTGAATAAACATCTATATTAGTAAATATTGCAAATCATAATAAAATCAGATTAAAATGAAACTGGTGACCTTTCTTGCTTATCTTTAAAGCTTATAAAACCTACTTATACTCTTTTATTAATAAAACTAACTCTAAACTCTAACTCTAACTCTAAAAAATATTTTTAAAAAATTTTTAATTTTTCTAAAAAAATAAAAAAATTTTATTTTAATTTGATTTGATTTTAATCTGCCACAGTAAATGTCATGCCAATTCGTAATATTTACTTTATATTATAGTGGTTTGTTATGACAATAAGCAATTTCATAAAGTGTTCTGAATTAAGCTGGCTTGATTAGGCTTATTCTACACCCCATTGGCTTATTTAAGACTTATTTGATTTATAAACTATATAACATATGATATATTCAAGAATATTATATAAATTATACAAATAAATAATAGTTTTATATATATATATATATATATATATATATTAAATCTTTGACAGTCTTGCCAGTGCTCAATTTATTGCAACTATATTTAGATGAGAGCTGAGCTCTCTCGAACAATACATATATCATTCATAACCACAAACAGGAAGTTACTATGATAGCGAGCCTGACATCATCCAGTTGCGATAAACGTGCCCATATGCGACTTGTCGCACCAACCTGTATACAAGTTAAATAAACTTTGTCAGCCCATTAAAGCTTTTCCCTTCATATCTCTTTTCTTTACTGAGAGCAAAAGAAAGTGATGATTTTATACAAAACCACCAATACTACCAAGAAAACAAAAAGAAAGCCTAACTAAAAAAAAACAAATAAAACAAAGGAGTATTTTTAAAGGAAAAAAAAAAAGTACAATGAGATATAAAAAAAAAGAAATACAAAGAGAAAAGCCTGAGGGCTAGCAAAGGGGAGAACTACCTCTATAAAGAAATAGTACAGGGGAAACAAGAAAAAAAAAACATAACAAGAAATAAAATACACTATTATAACCTGTGCCAGGTTTAAAAAAAAATTTTATAACAACTACAACGTTTGTATATAAAAACTTTAATATTCGACTACTAGCTACCTCCGGATGCCTCATTTGCCAGAGACCCGATCCCAGTCATGTGGAGAACACATATCATATCCACTGATAAACAAGGCACGTGGTTGCATTTCTGGGTATATCTGAATTTGGGAGGTAAACAATACTGATCTTTTGGAGAGAATAAGCCAAATTGCCCACTTTTTGTTAAAAATTTTGAAGAAGACTAGCTAAGCGAAAAATATCTAGGGAGAGACTACTTGCACCCAAGGAAAGTAGTTACATCTATGCAAAGACTCAACAATACCTAAACCTTCTTTTAAAAAAGGGGTAGAGCACCAATAGTTTCTTGTTGGTAAGTAATAAACTCTGGGCTTGTCAGCAAGTAGCGTATGAGAACTACTTCTAAACAACAAGTATCATGTAAGCGGCGAGTGATAAACTCTGAAGAAGTTAGCAGGTAGTGTATAAGAACTACCTTTAAATAACAACTGCTGATTTATAGCTGCTAGCGTGCCTCCATTTTTTACTAAACACTATTGTATTTTTTACAAAAAATATGTTTAGATTTTTGGTACAGATGATCATCAGAAAGAGTTGGTTGATAGTTTTATATATTATATAGTATAAAAATTTATAAACCTTAATAAGCCAATAGGAATATTGAGTAAGCTTAATTAAGCCAGCTCAATTCGGAATACTGATTTCATACAAAGAAAATTAAATTTATTCAGTTTAAAAAAATTTCTTTTCTTGTTTTTTAAAAGGATTTATATGTTATTTTTGCAAGACTTAATTTTAAACTCAATTAAGAAATAGCCTTTGCTATCAATTAATAAAATAAGAGAATGATTTATTTATTTTCCATTATATAAGAATAATTAAACATTATTTTTTCTTTTTAGCTCCTATTAGAGCCAAAAAAATCTAGAAAAATAATTCATTATTCCTGCTATACTAGAGAATAAATATTATTTATTTTTAATTTGAGCCTGTATTTGTAATTATTTTCATTTTCTGGCCCTTATTTATAAATTCTCCTTTTTTTTTATTGTTTATTATTAGTTAGTGCTAAGTTAAAATTGTTTGAATTTTGTGCAATAGCTATTTGCTTTGATAGAAAATTGTTAATAATGTGATTGTTAATTGTTAGCACAATTGTTAATTTGTTAATTTGTTTTGATTACATTATAGTGACTGATCAAAATTATAAATATAATCAGTTATTAGTTACAAAAATTTTTTTCTTATAAAGCTTTTTTGAATTTTTTTACACTTAAGGTTTGCTGTTTTACAAATGGGAATGGTTATAAAATTTCCTTAAGTAGAAGCTTTTACCTATTGGGATCCTAGTAGAAGACTGAAATAATTCTTAAGCATGAGCTATATACCACTTTTAGCTATAGGATCCTATATAGGCATTGGAAACATTCTCCTAGAGCTGAAAACACTTTTCTAGAGTTGAAAACACTTTTTTAGAGTTGTAAACACTCTTCTAGAGTTAGAAATATTCTTAAATATTGCTTTTTTTTTATTTAAAACATTATATCAACATAGTATTTTTGTTGGTATAATATCTTTTTTTTTTCAAGTCATTTTGTCAACATAAACTTTTAGCTTTGAAATGTTATTTTTACATAGTAGCAGAAACAAGTATCTTTATATATCATTACTAACTTATTTTTTTTAGTTTATTTTATTTATATTTCTAATTTTTTTCTTCTAGTTGTCTATTTTGGTGTTATCTTTTCTTTTGTTGTTGATATCATCCCTTTTGGTGTCTCTTTTCTTTTTTGTTATTGGTGTTGTGTCTTTTTTCTTTCATTGTTTTCAGTACTTTACATTTTGTAGTTTTCATACTAATTCTTTATAAGTATTTTAATTTTTTTTGGTGTGGTTTGTTTTTTTTTTTATTTATTTCATCACTCATTGTGACAGAACTCACAAAATGGCATTTCTGAAATGTACATTACCTCATGTGTTTGGCTGCAGATTTTATTAAATGCTGTAAATGTTGGGGTAGACATTAGGATAGATTCAGAATTTGTAAGATGTAATGAAAATAAATTAAATAATTATATATTTTATCAATCAAATAAAACTTACACGAAAAAGACTTAAATTTGTTTTGTTGAGAGTATTGATTTTTTTTTTTTTTTTTGTTCGATTATTAGTAAGTTCTTATATCAAATAGATTTAAACTATCTTTTATATTAAGCGTGATAAATTTTTAATCGATAATAAATTGTAAAGTTTCTTACATCTGAAGTATTGAATTAAACAGATTTATGGGCCCAAATTGAGTTGTAAAAACCTCGCGATTACATGTTACCCATGTTTATCGATAGTCGACCATCAGCTAACATATTTAATGAATTAGATTAATTTCATATCGAATATAAAGAAAATTTCAAAAAATTGACTTAATGAAGAATTAAAAATATCTAGCCTAAAAAAATTTAGTCAATTATACACTATATATATAGTTATACGTCGGGATGGAATATAGTAGACATTATTCAAAAAAAAATTTTTATTAATTATTTAATCATATACAGTAAATACAACTAATCTAGGTTAAATGTAATTACAATTTTTTTTCTAAACTACAAAACATCCTTTTTCCCACTACTTTTTATCCTTACTTTCAATTTAATAATCTCTATATACTTTTCCGGAAATCCTTTTCATATATAACATTTTAGCATGAGCATAATCACCCACAATTAGATTGAATTAATTAATGTAAAAATAATCAAACGATCCTTTTGTTTTTACTGTAATGATGTTAAACAGTTTTGATCTTATTGATTTAGCAATAGTATTTTAGGTATTATCACTTATTGCCCGGAGCGAAGCGAAGAACCCTGTTTTTACTACGGACTATGATTAGGGTTGCAATTATACCGGGTATAATAGAGGTCACTCTCGTTATAGTGAATCACTGGTTATAGTGAAGACCAGTTTATATAGATATACTCTCAATATAGTGAATTTACTAACAGACTCTCGATATAATGGAAAAAATGTTACAGCCCGATCACTTCACTATAACGAGAGTGACTTGTAGTATAATACAGTGAAGCCTCTCTAAGTGCACGTACTCGGGACCAGAATTTAACGACGTGCACAATAAGAAAAAGTGCATATATGTAGGTCATGTATACATTTGGCCAGAATCTGTGTGTGCACTTAGAGAGGTTTCACTGTATATTGCAAAACTATGAGTCAACCCGTGGTGAGTGAACCGGGTGACACCCGCTCAGGCCAAATCACTATGTAATATATTCATACCAAACATCAAAAAATAAGCTCTAGTAATTTTGAAAGAGAAAAAATATTTTATTATTACATCAATAGCTTCAACTTTTTTCTTTTTTCTTAGCATCTTTCTTTTTATCTTTTTTCTTTTTTTTAGACTTTGAAGTTGTTTCTTCAACAGTTTCTTCAGTTTCTTCGACTTTGTCCTCTTTTTTCTTTTTTTTAGGCTTTGAAGTTGTTTCTTCAACAGTTTCTTCAGTTTCTTCGACTTTGTCCTCTTTTTTCTTTTTTTTAGGCTTTGAAGTTGTTTCTTCAACATCAATTTCTTTCGTTTTTACATCCAATAGTGTTTTTGATTTCTTGTGTTTCTTAGGAGGAGAAATTTCTTCACTCGTTGTTTCTAAAGCTTTACGCTTAACGGACGGTGCAGGTTGAACTATTTATGTGATTTTAATGTTAATAATTTGTCAAAAATGCGTAAAGTTGCAAGACTAAATGGTATGAATTAGAGGTCTGATTCCGATCGAAAAATAAGTATTCGAATATTCATTCGTTCAAGCTTTTTAATATCCGAATATTCATCAGCAAATTTCAAATGAATATTCATCGAATATTGACGATCATGAAATAGAGTTATTGATTCGGAACAGTAACGAATTATAAAGTTGAATAATTGAGAGTTTAAATACACAAGCTAACAAATGATATTAAAATAAATAAATCGATAGAGAAAACTTCTAGCTAATAAGGATTTATCTTGATAATCTACTTTGGGCTCATGATTATTAGCATTGCTAACCAATCAATCAATATATGGGACCCCCCACAGCAAAAGGAGGGGATGGGGCAAAAAAATTTTTTTTAAAAAAATTCAATATCTTGAAGAATTAGATTGATTAGAATAAAATTATCATAAGAAAAAATTTTCGAATTTTTTTGCCCATCCCCTTTTGCTGTGGGGGGTCCCATATATGATTGAGCATGATATATGACACCAATCTTGCATTTAATTGGTCGATTAGATAGTATATATTCAAAAATTTTCATATTCTAATGTTCAATTCAGTGAAACAATTATATATTCGAATATTCGAATATTCGAATATACCATTCATCGGATCAGACTCTAGTATGAATAGAAAGTTACTTTGATCAACATCCATCTTCTCATCACTTTCTTCAAGCTCTTCAATTACTTTTTTCATGACGTCAGCATTTTTTGTAACAGCAGCCCCAGATTCGTAAAATTTCAGTCTTTCTTCAACTTGATCTTTAAGAGCCAGCCCAAATTTTGAAGTAGGTTTATCTATTAATTTTCGACCATTGGAAATCAATATAATGACTTAATGATTATGCAGAAAAGGGACAAAGCTGAACAATCATTCCATACCAGTAAAACAATCTATTCGTGATGCAATTGTACATTTATTGGCCAAGAATCGAGAAATCCTGCCTTTGTTTTTAGTTCCTGCTCGTCCAATAAAAGACGAATGATATAGAAGACCATACTTTGGTGTGTTTCCTTTCGTCTTAAGAGCTCTATATTGTTAAAATGTATTAAATAATTGATGAATTTTACCTTTCAACGAATTTAATTATTTTTGAAAGCTCTGTACACCTAAATAATGCCTTCTCAGCTCCTAAAATTTGTACAGTAGAAGCGGGATATTTTGAGAGATTCGCCAGACTTCCAGCGTGAGAAATCAGCCTGGCGCCAACAACTTCACCAATTAATGCCGATAAATTGGGTGCCACGTTATTCATTTTAAATAACAAATATCCGTGTAAATTTTTACGATATTCTGCAAGATTGATCACACGATCAGCAAAGTGCTCGATATTTATCATATCCAATTCGGAAATATCCGTGCCCATTGATACGCGAGCTGCATCAATAATTTGTTTTGCCTTTGATTCATCTTTTGTTATTTCTGTAATAGCTTCCAAATGTTCTTCAGTTAAATCATTCTTGTTTCGAATGAATTTGGCGAGAATAGAATACATATGATTATCGTTAACGACCTTTACAAGTTCCGGAAAATGCCATGAATACCATTCTCTGAAAATGGAATAATTGACAAATCATAATATAATTACATGTTGAAAAAATATTTTTCATAGTAAATTAACAAAAAAAAAAAATGTAGGCTTACCTAACTCTCATAGCAAATGTATTAATATCTTTGTCTAATTGATCTAACAAAGATATAGCCTGGATTATCATATTGTCAGCACGATTAACGTTGAATTTAACCTTTGCCCTAGAGTAACTATGGCCCAATCCAAGTTGCGCCTTAACGAGTTCACCTTCTTTCACTTGATTTAATAATTTATCAGAATGTAATCGAATGCCGCGAACAAGTTCTAATGCAATCTCACTGGTTTCACAATCGAATCCTAATTCAACTTTAATTGAACTCGCTAAATTCTTGTCTACAACACCAAGTATAGGATTTTTCTTTTTTCCGGGCTTTGGAAGGTTCATCTCCAAGAAATTTTTGAGATGGTTATTTAAAACTCCTGCAATTTATGATGGGCATAAATTTAAATTTTGAATTTAATTGATACAACTGATAATTAATATTCAATCTCTAACCTTCAGATATGTCATTTGCATTCTCCAAAGCGTGAGCAGCATTTTTAAAAGGAACAAATGATTTAAGCTTCATTATTTTTCCAAATTTTGCCAAATCTTGAACAGCTTTTTGAACATTTGCAAGTTTGGAACCAATTTCCTCACTTTGCAGGCATTCAAATAGAGCATAACCATAGGCTGTTTCAAAAAGCACGTAATTTACCTTATAAATTGGTCGAAATGGTCAATTCGTCAATTTACAAACCAAAAAGCAAACAAATTATAATAACTCTTATTTACCATTATCGATGTTCAAATTTAGGAATTCTAAACCAACATAAGACTCTACGGATTGAAATGAAAATGATTTTTATAATGCAGTTTATCTTTTTTTGCCATGATCGACAAAAAAGGTTACTCTTTTTTATTGGGGCCGGCGCAAAAAAGATAATCAATTAGGACCAACCTAAAAAATTTCGCTGTTAGATTAAAGATAGGTATTGCTATTAAGTTAGGTTGAAAGAACTTTTTACGTAGACGATTTTTTTTTTTTTTTTGCGTTACACCTGATCTCGAAATCTGATTGGCCAATGAACTTTTTTCCGGTTAATACTCTAACGCTAATACTCAGGTTTTGCTTAAAAACCCATATTAATATTTTTTAAAAATCGAATAAACCGGTATGTGAGCTGTTTTTGTTTGGTTCATTGGTTTAAAATAATTGAATGTTGGATTTTGTTTAAAATCTATAATTATACAATATACCTATATTTTAACTAATAATAACTGTATTATTTATATTATTAAGAAAATTACTACCAGTATCACCAGTCCTAAGAATTTCTAGGGAATTAGAGAGGATTTTTATATATATAATATAAATTGGATATAAGGACCTAATTTTTGTTTTTGTGAGGTTTTCAGGGTCCTGAACATTTTTACTTAGAGTACCCGATCCCATTTACTTAGTACATTTTTGAGATATAGCAACACCGATAATGATCACCAGTGGTGGTAAATACGTAGCTTTAAACAAAAATATTATATATATTATATATCAAAAATTTTTTTATTAAATCTTTATAGACATCTAAAAAAAAAACCCATCCGGGTAGTAAATTTTTGATAAATATTCACAAAACATAAAAATTATTATAGATATTACAGTTGTTCTCATAAATTTTGAAACATCTGGTATACTGTATAGTTGTTCGTCAATTAAAATCTTAAATGACGAAATGACGAAATAAACTGATAAAAGTGACGAAATTGACGAAACTAATAAAAGACGAATATACAAATAAAATCATTAAAATTATGTGTATAAAAAAATAGACTAACAAAAACAGAAATTTATAAAAATTAAAGAATTTTATTGTGTAATAGGCCTTGAATTGTTTAAAGGGAGTTATAAATGAGTATTCTATATTGATTATACTAGTACACTGCATATCAGTTCTTCGCTTGGTGCTTACTTTGTGATCATACAAATTTATTTCGTGTCAGTATGTTTTAATTCATTATTTGTGTTATTCCATGAGTACTATGGCTTTTTGACAAGGTTATTCAACCGGTCTATAACAACCCAAGTGTTGTTTATTTTTGCTGGTATACGTGTAATTTCAGATATCGGATACTGATCCCTGAGTAATTATGAATGTAATAACTTTTTATTTTTATTTTTATTTTTTAACGGTTTCGTCTTTTTGAACATAAGCTTTCGTCATTTTAAGTTAAGGTTTCGTCTTTCGTCAGAAGAATTTGAGGTTTCGACTTTCGTCAGAGGTTTCGTCTTTTAGGTGTTTAGGTTTCGTTTAACAACTAATAATCTGGTAAAAAATTGACATGATTATTTGACCGATTCGATAAGTTTGTGATTTCAATATATATATATCTCGCTAAATGACACTTTCAGTACATAATCGTTGAAAATTGTTGACAAGTCGGATATTTTAGATTTAACAGCAGTTACTTTAGACAAGCTAGACGTTTTTAAAATATTTATTATATAGATGAAGCTAAAAGTTCTTTAGTTTTAAATCTATCGCTCAATACTTCATCTAATTCATGCTGATTCTGTCACAGACTCAATACACCATACTGGGCATGTATTCAAGCGAAACTTCAATATTGAATGTTTTAACTTTGTAGTACCGTTCAAGCATGGTTAAAAATCCATTGATTGGTTGATTAAATCGTGATGTGCATGTGATATTTGCATGATATGAGCTAATATTTTATTGCATATACGTACAAAATTTATTATTTTTTTTTATATTGTCACGAGTTTCGTGACGTAGGAGTTGGGCTTAGATAGTTTAATTTATTTTATTTTATTTTTATCCTTTTATTGTTTATTTATTTATTTTCTTTATTTATTTATTTTTATCTTTTGTTTGAGGTA